CTACAAACATGTTGACATTATCTTGACGATGACCTGCGTAAAAATTAATATTAAATGGACTAAAAATTTACATTCATTTTACGTAAAATTAACATCTCCATGCTGTTTGTGATGTAATGCTCCCTGTTGTCCCTCGTCGCTGTCTCAGCTGAGTTTTTACCAGGAAAAAAGCATCTTCTTCCCACTTTCATCATCTATTTTGCCAAAAACTGAATATTCCATTGATATTGCCCATGTATGCTCTGAAATATGACATTAATCCAAGCAAGCAATTTTTCAGCTATCCTCGAATAGGGGAAGCGCTCTCAAGCTTGCGAAGTTACTGACAGTAATGGGCATTTTCTTTTCTTGTTCATTTTCATCCTTTTTTTCTCTTGAATGAAAAGAATGAGGAGATAAGGCAGACTGAAAAAAAAAGAGCTGAATGGAAGCAATACCACGTTCCACCGAGATGATTTGGAGTCTGTTCGTTAACTTGAAAGAATGCGTTATGAAACGTGTCATCGCGCTGTTTCAGTTGCTTCGAAGCAGGGAAGTCGATGAAAACACTTGGGGGGTTTCTTTGCAGTGCAAGAAAGACTTTATTCGTGGATCGATTATCATACTATCTCTTTGGTCCAGAGGAAGAGAAGGAAATTTCGAGAGGCAAAAAATCGGCGATGGAACACGAAGAACCTCAACTACGGAAAAAAAAGCATCGAAGTAAGGGAAGAAAAAAAAAAAACAAAAAAGCAGCAAGAAAATCGCATCATTCCCGAATGTGACCGGTATTCCGTCCGCTGATATTCCTCGACTTCTTCTTCAGCCCCTCCTTCGAATCCAGATCCAGACTCCCATCGAAGTAGATCCTATTGATGTACTCCAGCATCCGATCCACCTTGATCGGAAACTGTGCCGCCCCCGGATCCTCCTTCGCCATCTCCGCTCCTCCCGCTCCCCCTCGTCCCTCCGGCGCCACCGCGCTCCCCCCGTGCAACGGCATCCCGATGAACGTTCGGAATCTCCCCCAGATGAAATCCAGGATCTCGTATTCGTTGGACTGCTTCGCGACGTCCCGCTTCACGGCCTCGAAGGCCCTGATGATGATCGTGAGCAGCAGGTTGAGCATGATGATGCTCATGATGATGGCGAAGAAGAAGAAGAAGATGGCCGCCACCACGTTCGTATTCTTCATGGAATCGAACTGGAATTTCCCCAGCATCATGGACGAGCAGGTCTCGAAGGCCGTGACGAAGTTGCGCCATTCTTCCAGTTCCCGGAAGAAGAAGAGATAGAACATGAGGCAGAAGGCGATGAAGACGCCGTAGAATACGATGGCGTAGCCGATGAGGTCGTCCCAGCATTGCTTCATCGTGGACGAGAGAACGCCGATCCGCTTGTTGAATCGCAGCAACTGCCGGAATCGAAACGATGTTACTTGTTTTGCATACTGGAATTTGGCATGATGAATCCTATCTTCGTGGAGGAGGAAGGAGCCGTGTACATAGGCTTAAAAAAAAAGAATTACTTCCTTTTGACACCTGACCTAATTGACACCTGCGAAAGAGAAACTACTTGGAAAATATAATAATTTAGCAATGGAATGAGTGAAATACATCAGTTTGAGTTGCAACTATTCATAATGGGAATTTCCTTGAGTAATATGCTACTCGTCATAAATTAATATCCCATCACTGCATACCGAAGGAGTGATGACGAAAAAGAATCAAAATGATGTAGGATGAAGGAAAACGGGCAAAATACGAGGAAGCCCGCCGAAGAAGCAACTGACGATCCACCTACCTTGAGAAACATGATGGTCCCGACGAAGGTGAGAGCAGCGATCAAGTAGCCAAGAATCTCATCCACGAGCGCGACATACTGAAGCCGAATGTACTCGTTCCCGTACGTATCCTGCACCCGCTGGAGGACGTCCTTCGTGAGGAAGACCCGGTAGAGGTAGAGCCCCACGGCGGTCCACGCCACCAGCACCGTCCCCATCTCCGCGTAGCTCCAGTAACTCCGCAGGTAGGCGCGCGTGCTCTTGCAGCAGGCCCTGAAGGCCCGGTAGGTGAAGTAGAGCGCGAAGATGACGTAGAGGATCTCGCAGACGAGGACGAAGAGACCGAATCCCGTGTGATACTGGAGCAGTCGGATGCCGTCGAAGCGCCAGCTCGGCTTCAGGCCCCCGCCGGGGAGCATCTCCGCCATCACTCTCAACACTCCGAACAGGTTTACCTGTGGGTGATCCGTTCTTAATCTGACCAAACTCGGATTCGCGGCGAGGATGAGGACTTGTGAGTATACTGCAAGTCTTCCAAGTTTCACTCATATTTGTATGCTCCAAAGTCGAACCTTTGCCTTTACTTCTAAAGAATCACATTCAAATTGATAGAACCTTTTTTGCCTTTCCTTTCGATGAGGCCAAAGTAGTTTATTCTGAATTTCCATTTATAAATTGTCATTCTAGTAACACAATTTATGACGTTCGCCCTCAAAATTAATTCCTTGAATTCCAACAACCTCCAGAAAGTTGTATCGCATCTGCATCGACCCAATTCTTTCCCCACATGCCATTCCCGACGGCCTCCCGTTCCCCCAGCGCTTCCATTGGAATACCTGAGCATTATAGGTGTATATTTCGAGCATGACGGCCCTCGTGTGGGCATCGAACCACTCCAAATGCTGCAACTGCTGCAGCCTATCCCGGATCTCCGACTCCCGTCCCTTGAGCCGGATGACGTACCCCCCGCCGCTGTAGACGTCCAGCATCCCCACGATCGGCAGGCCCTGCAGGTCTTCCGCCGTGTTGAACCTGTGCGGCCCCGTGAGACCTCAGGATGGCTCACGACGACACGAAAAATATTCTCGAGAGAGATTTCTTACTTGAATTCATCCCAAGAGCAGTTGGTGATCGGGTCTGCAACTTCGCTGCGTAGTTTCCAAAAAACGCAGAAATCTCGACGTTCTTCGTGAATCACGTTGGACAGCCCCGCACAGTGAGTAAAGTTCCTCGCCTGCCAAGGAAGCCTGTCGACAACCGACCCATGAACACCGCGAGCGAAAAGGTCGTCTTTGAAACCCGAATGGGAGGGAAGACGCACGTGCAAGAATCGTTGACGACCCTGATCTGCCTCATGATCGGGTAGCCGAGGATGCGGTTCACCCGGTCGTTCATGAATCCCCTGAGGCCCCAGGGGGCATCCCCGTTGTACCAGTTCTGGGCCCGTACCTCGTCCATCACGACCCCGTGGACCCACTGCCAGAACTTGTCGGTGTCCTGGACCTGTGGGAGATGTCGGTCGATCTCTTTTCTCCGTGTCGAATCGTCTGGGGTTTTGATTTTTTTTTTTATCGACGTGCCTTTCGGTAGTCGAGGTCGTCGTTTCCGAATTTCAAGAGGCTGCCCTCGAAGCCGGACTTGAGTAAGTAGCTGTTGGGGTCCCGGTTCCCGTATGAGAGTACCAGAAGTACCCAGAGGTACAAGACGTAGGAGGCGATTTCTTTCATCACGTCCCACATCTTCACCTCCCTCATCCTCTTCTCTCTGGCTGCCTCCAACGCCGCCCGGTTCATCGGGCGATAGCCCAACTTTTTGTCCTTCCACCGGTTTCCATCTGTCGGATGTTCCGATGAGACCGTTCCCTGGAAACTCAAGATTGTGCAAGAGGCAGGGTCTCACCGGTTTCGTGGATCCACTGTTCGTCGTATCGGAGACTGGGATCTTCCTCGTCCTCGTCGGCGTCGTCATCGTCCGGTTCCGCCTTGCAAACCACACTCAAGAAGATCGCCATCAAGAACACCTACGTCACCCGAGACCAAATGAATTCTCGAAAAACGGCAAAAACGGACAAAAAAAAGAGTTAAATTCGTGACCTTGATTGGCTGGACGAGGAGGATGGAGGAGAAGAAGGAGGTGACGAGTGAGGTGACCCACTTGGTTGTCTTGTCGTTGCCGAACGTGATCCCATAGGCCCAGAGGAAGAAGACGCTCACCCCGATGCAGGCGACGACGAGGAGCCAGGCGATGATCTGGAACCACCAGGGGAGCGTGCACTTCTTCTTTCGGGGGCTGCAAGTCATGCAAAAATCAGTTATGCACTTCTTAGTTTATTCTTTCTTGTTTTTATTTATGTATATAGGGCGGTTAAAAAGAACGCTCTATCGTTTTCTATGGGAGAAACACAGTTTCATAAATGTAGCAAAAAAAATTACATTGGGCACGCGATCCATATTTGACAGCTAAAAGGCGTTGAAATGCTTGCCAGCTTTTTATCAGCACCCGTAAGTCGTGCAATGCCCATTTAGAGGTGAATTAAAGGTGCTTAGAGGT